ATAATAATAATAATAATAATAATAATAATAATAATAATAATAATAATTAGACACAGTCAGCATCCATATCTTTTAAAAATGATTCTTAAACGTCTTTATGATGGACATTCCGTGGGTTTTCCACAGTTTTACTCCACTGATGGAAATGCAAAAACTTTTACGAGTTGTTTGAACAATCCTTGATTTGAAGTTAAGGATTGTCACAGTTTTAAGTATGAGTAAGTTTTTTTTAACCATTCATATAACCTTTTTAAAGTGTTTTTTCATAATTATTTTGCTCAGCTTTTAAGAGATTCTGGGGCAAACAAGACTACCGTAAGGAGGTAGAGGAGATACTGAAGGAGAAAGCGGCTCTGCAGAACATCCGCAGCCAGTCAGTGCTGGAGCTTCTTCAGAACCGAACACTTCGCTGGCAGCTCCTCACCATGGTGGCTGTCTTCTCTACACTGCAGCTGTGTGGCATCAACGCTGTGAGACACCACCCCCCCCCCCCCCCCCCCCACACACACACACACACACACAGGAGTGCTCTGAACATGTTGTTAAAGCATGGAAACATCAGCTGCACTGACTCTAACCAAACCCTGCTTTAATAGTCACATGTTTAATTATTCATCCCAAGGTGTACTTTTATTCGTTTGATGTTCTTCGGGCCGCAGGAATCCCAGAACACAAGTTAGCCTACGCTGCCTTGGGAACAGGCCTGTGTGAACTTTGCACCTCTGCAACCTGTGTAAGTCGGTTTTTAAACCAGTAACATTTACTTTGAACATCCTTGTAGTGGTTATTTTTATGCTTCAATTGTGTTTCTTTAATTTCTCCTGATGGGAAAATATGAACCTTTTCTTTTGCTTCCGTCACAATGAATGTCCAAACCTGGACCTTGAGGGCCGCTATCCTGCAAATTTTACTTGTTTCTCTGCTCCAGCACACCTGAATCAGTCACTCATTAATCCTCTTAGGTTCTGCAGAAGCCTGTTAATCATCCATTCTTCAAACCAGGTGTGTTGGAGCAGAGAAACAAGTAAAACATGCAGGAACGTGAACCTCCGGACCTGGATTGGACAGCTTTCATGTTATTTTTACACCAATAAATGTGTTCATGTGTTATCATGGCACCTCCACTTGGTTGTTTGTCACCACACAGTTACCTCTGAATTATCCTGATGACTGAATTAATGTTTCAGTTCATGATTACTGGGAGCGCAGGCAGGAAGGTCCTGATGTTCAGAGGCTACATGGCCATGTCTGCAGCTCTGGCTCTCCTCACCGCCACCGTCTACCTGCAGGTGAGCTCCTCCGCCTCCAGCTGCTGCACAAGTCTGTTTATTATCAATGCAAAGAGTGACGGCTCAGACCGGAACAACTGGGACTCTTTTCTCCTCAGAGTCAGTTCTCGTGGATGCCGTACTGCAGCATGGTTCTCATCTTCCTCTTCATTCTCTGTTTTATAATTGGACCAGGTACGTTTGTCTCTCATTTGTCCATTTTTCATTTCACTGCAAAAACTGTCCATCCAAAATTCTGCCAATAGATTAAGAAAATTGCACTTGGTAAGATTTTTGAAAAAAGAAAAAAAAATGTAGTCAAAACAGATATTTCAAGAAGTAAAATTAATAGAATTTTTTCACTTAATTTGAGTCAAATTTCCAGACTAATAAGATTATTAGTAAATCAGTCTTAAAACAAGATCAAAAAGATTTTTTTTTTTTGGCTGGATGTAGGATTTTAAAACGTGATTAGATGGAAATATTTTATAGTGTTCAAGAAGGGTTCCTGTTTGAATCAGTAAGACCATCTTTTGTCTTTGACCCCTTCAGGCACGATGACAATGGTTCTTCCAGGAGAAATCTTCCCTCAGTCGTTTAAATCAGCTGCATACACGCTGGGCTGCACCATCAACTGGCTCAGCCTTTTTGTGATGGGGATGGTCTTTCCCATCTTAGTGGTAAGTATATTCTAAAAGTATTGTGATCTGGCTGGTAGCCTGTTGCACTTATACTGTATTTGTGAGTTGAGTGGAACCGAGTCATAATACTCCCCATTTTACAGGAGAAGCTGGAAAGTTTTTGCTTCCTTGTATTCCTGGCTGCGTGCCTCCTCTGCGGCCTGTACATCAGGTTCAACGTGCCAGAGACCAAAAACCGAACAGCGCTGGAGATAGCCACAGAGTTCGACAGGATGCATCGAAAAGTTGGACAGTCGACTGAAGGAGAAGTCTGCGAAGTCAAAACACAAGAGTCCAAGCTCTGATTAGGCCGAAACTTTTAAAACGACACAATTTTCAACATCATGTGATCTGATTCTCAAAATAAACAAAACAAAGAAAACAAAAACAATTCTTAGCATTTCAATGAAGGAAGCAACTACTGTATCTGTGAATCCATCCATTTTCTGTACACGCTTCTTCCTTCTCAGGGTTGCGTGGGTCACTGGTGCCCATATCCAGCAGTCACAGTGCGAGGGGCGGGGTACACCCTGAACAGGTTGCAAGTTCATCAAACGCCTCATCTGTGAATATTTAAGTGAAAGTTTTTCTTTGCTGATGATCTGATAACATCAGAAAAATGAAACAACTTCTTGTACACATTATAAAAATCACAAATCATAAATTCTGTAAATGAAAACATTCTGTGAAACTTGTCATATGAGACACGTCAGTTCTGTTTTTGTTTCAAATGACTGAAAATATTCCACTGTTGTGCTTTTTTTAAATAAACCTGATGTTTATTCAATCATTTGATACTTTTTATCAACAAAAAAGGCTTAAATTTGATGACTGCTCAGTCAGATAAACAGATTAAAAAGTTATTACTGAGGTCTGTGTGTTCAGAGTTTGGCTGATCAGATAAACATCACCAGTCTTCAGTAAAACAAATGTTTTAATTTTTATTTTAGTGTAACAACAATCACTATAGTTACTGATTGTCTTAATGAGGTCAGTTATTGAACGTAAACGAGTCATTTTAGACTCTTAACTGCTAAAAATATCCATCAGGATTCATATTGTTTCTGTGCAGATGAGTTAACTGTTATCTTTTACTATAAAATATAAAATTAAGATCAGCTAAATATGTTTTTGATGACAACATTTAAATATTTTCATGTAACCCCAACTTTTCATTTTAGGACTAAACGGCACCCCATACAAGACACCCTTTTAATTTATACCTATATGTTTGGTTGCAAAGAGTTTTTATCCTTTTTTTAGATTTTGCAAAAAATTTTTCATTAGTTATTAAGACAAAAAGTTTGGTTTTAATGTTTAAGCATCTAATTAAGAAATTTAAAAAGTATAAAAATAAAACTGACAGAAAACTTCATTTTTTTTGTAGATTTTCCTCATGAGATCAACAAGAACTTGTTTTTGTATTATTTGTTTATTTTGCGACTTGAAGCACAAAATGACCCCTTCAGGTTTTGGTCGACCTGAAGCCCCATTCACAAATCAAAATATGTGAAAGGTTTTGCTTTGACGGAACAAGTTGAACCCATTCGGGTCCCTGAGGGTCCGACAGCCATCAGGGAACTCCCTCCAACTTGCGCACACGAGCGGCCCCCGAACATGTGGGAGCCTCTGATAACATAATCTACACACGCCGAGCTGAGGGTCCTGCGGGAGGAGGGGGTGTGGAGTGGAAGCTATAAGTGACCGTCCTACATCACCACCAACAACAACAACAACCACGCAATCAGCTGTGTGAGTAAACACTCAGGGCCACGCCCAGAACATTTGGCTCTTAAAACACGTGTCCAGTGAGTGACGGGCAGAGAAACTGCTGACAGCAGATCAGATCAACACAAGAGGCTGAGACCAGCTGGCTTCCTCTCAGGACACCATGGACACTTTCACCTCCAACGATGAGCCCAAGATGAAGAAAGATTATGACAAAAAGTGAGTTCTCAAAATCCATCTGGCATTATGAAGATGATCCTTTGCTTTGTGCAGGGCACCTGTTCTCCTATGTTTGTTATCTTCTGTCTTCTTCTGAATGGGTGTCCTGAACTGTAATTTCATTGTGCTCTGTACAATGACAATAAAGGTCTAACCTAATCGAATCTAATTAGACACATATTTAATCAATCAAACTAAAATTGGTGCATTTTTCTTGGAAATTTTTTAATTTTTGTCATTTTATTCATGATGTTACTTCTTATAATGATAATAGTTAAATAACTTCCACAAACCAGAATGCTTTATTCATTGTGAAAGTCATGATTGAATCAGCAGAAACCTCCCCCCGCACAGATTTCGGAGCTCGTCCCGAAACAATCCCTCTCTGTCTGCTTAAATTTGTCCCCCATTGATCCCAGGAGAAATCTAGAAAGTGAGAAACCCACAGGTAATTTATTTACAGCAGCCCAAGTTGTGATCTGGGCCCACCAGGACCCGAGGTTGCTGCAGACGGTCCATCTTGTCTGTCAGAGGCTTTCTTTAGAAACCTGAGACCATTTGCAGTTGCAGCTGATGATCTGCGAGCGTTTTAAACTGTGGTGTAGAACTGATAACACCACCAGCCTCCACCCAGAGTGTCCCCCCGACCCCACCCCTAGCAAAGAGCAGCAAGAGCTAAAACAGGAACTAAGTGAAAATATAGTCAATGAAACAAACAGGAAAATATGACAAAAAGTTACTAATGGTCCTGTAAATTTAAAAAAATGAATTTAAAAAAGCAAGCGAATAATCTTCATGTGAATTATTTCATTGTTGAACAGATGATTATTAATGTTTACAATTAAATATAAACTTTGTGTTCTTTTGTTTGCTCGCAGGGTTTTTGTAAACAGAAACCTGACGCTTGAAAGCATCAAATGTTACGGCTTCGACATGGACTACACGCTGGCAAGTGAGTCAAGTTCGAAAACACCAAGTTTTTCATTCAAATGACAGAAAAACCAACAATGTTTTCTGCTTGTGTGTTTCTGTTTGCAGTGTACAAATCTCCTGACTATGAGAGCATGGGCTTTGAGCTGATACGAGACAGAATGGTGTCTGTTGGATATCCTCATGAGATTCTCCGCTACACCTACGACCCCAGCTTTCCCACTCGGTCAGAATGTCATTTTTAAATTCTTTACCTCTTATATGCACCTAATGCATTTGTTTAATTTCCATTTGTTGTTTTTGCTCTCAGTGGAATAGTCGTGGACACCACATATGGGAACCTCCTGAAGGTGGATTCTAACGGCAACATCTTGGTTTGCAGTCATGGCTTCCTCTTCCTCAAACAGTAAATTCAAACAGCAAATCTGTGAAATGTTGTTATTTTGTATCGCTGCTTTATGACTAACCATCAAATATACAGTAAATTAAAATATATGTCCAATATCCAGCACTTACCAATCAACCACTTAACAAATCAACCAACTTTTTTTAATCATTCAGTTTTATACTTAAATTATTAAGAAAAATTTGTTTTGATCAAAACTGGAATAAGTGTTTGAAGCACACTCAGGTTGAATAAATACAAGATCCTCAACATAACAACTGAAGAAAAAAAGCAATAAAACACCGACCTATAATTAACCAACTAACCAAACAACTGATTCATCAACAAATTAACCAGCCTACATGTTTTACTAGTTTACTGATTGTTTAACCAATGGAATGAATTACCAACTAACCAATCAGTTAACCAGCCAAACAACTAACTAATTGTTTAACCAATCGCCAACCAACCAACCAACCAACCAACCAACCAACCAACCAACCAACCAACCAACCAACCTGTTAGTTTTACCCATCATTCAACCAACAAACCAAACAACCAACTAATCAACTGATCAATTAGCCAACAATCAGTTAACCAGCCAGACAACTAACTAATCATTTAACCAATCACCAACCAACCAACCAACTAGTTAGTTTTACCCATCATTCAACCAACAAACCAAACAACCAATCAATCAATTGATCAATTAGCCAACCAATCAGTTAAGCAGCCAAACAACTAACTAATCATTTAACCAAACAACCAACCAACCAGTTAGTTTTACCCATCATTCAACCAACAAACCAAACAACCAACTAATCAATTGATCAATTAACCAACCAATCAGATAACCAGCCAAACAACTAACTAATCAATTAAACAGTTATTCTACCAATAACTCATATATTCAACAAATGGACTATCCTCCCTCTGTCTGTCCGTCTGTCCGTCCGTCCATCCATCCATTCATCCGTTTGTTCATTCACAGGGAATTGGTGTTCATCTCCAGCAGTCACTATGTGAGAGGTGGGGTTCAGCCTGGACAGGTCAAATTCCATCACAGAGTCCCAACCAATCAGTTTATCATTAAATTAAACAATTATATATTCATCATTTATCCAATCAACCAACCAACAAAATAATACCATACCATACCATACCATACCATACCATACCATACCATACCATACCATACCATACCATACCATACCATACCATACCATACCATAC